AAATCTCCCCAGCCGAAATCTAACCACCCCAAGCCAGCAAGCCAAAACACCGTGAATTCCTTAGAGTGGTGCCAGTCTCATCTTCTTAAGCTTCCCACACTCCTGTTGGGGGCTAAGGGAATGCTTATCTCCCCGAGCGCGGCCTTCATCCAACCATTCCTTCACACATACAGAGTCTTCTTTTCAGCTGGAAGTTACATGTTACCGATATTGCCTTGCTGCTCTTCCGGCACCGACTCAATTTTCAGACGGGATTTCATGTATCCATCAAAAATGGGTTTTTTTTAAAAAAAAAAACACCCATTAGCTGTTCTGAAGCTTGAAAGCAGGCAACTAAATAGCATAACTATGTTTTGCTTACCTCAACTAAGACTTCAAACGCATTCGTGCGCCAGATGGCTTGCCATCCAGAGGGTTCAAGAACCTTTTCCAAATATTCTGCTGTGAATTCCTTCACCTCCGAGGCTTTACAGTCAGCTAAAAATTAAATCAGGGACAACATATGTATTATGCTTCTTGCCTACATTGTTGCTATTATTATTGTTATCATCATCATACTATAAACAACGTCAAGTCACTGTAGCTACTATGATCCATCGGTCCCTGTGCAAAAGTTTGAATTTCAAAGTTTCCCAAATGTGCTACAATCTCAACACTGAAAAAGTTGTTGAAAATGATTATTTTAAAAGGTTACGGGATTTTCGCATGCAAACTGATTGCCATCTAGAATACAACACGACAGGTTTAACAATAATTGAAAAGAAAATGGTAATTTTGGTAGTTGTGGCAATACATCTACTGGGGCAGCAGAATTGAGGAAAAAGAATTGGAAAATAATATTATAAAATATAGAAATCTAATGGGTAGATTATGGAAAAGACCATTATCTCTATAATTGGGCATTAGACATATAGAATAACAAACAGCTAAAACACATTTTTACCAAAACTAAGTATTTCAGCTGTATCAACTGTGGGTTTACAAAAAAAACACTTGCTTGTTATACATTAAGACCTTTTGGGTATTTCTTACATCCCTGGCTGAAACTCAAATTTCCAAAGAATACCAGTCAAACATGTGATTCTCTTTGGTGAATAAAAACAAATCAGCCTTATGGCATAAAATGGCCATTTGACGAAGACATGGAGCTGTGATGGCCAACTTAAAGCTCCATTTTTTGTGAGTGTTTTGGTGGGAAACATGAAACAGAAAGTAAATGAAAAACCACCATTAAAGGTTGGACATCTGGACAAGGGTTAGGAAACTAGAGGGGCTTTTCCAACATGTCCAAACGTTGTTTCTGGCTGGAAGATGTGGAAGTTGCATTTCCACTGCATCTCAAGGCCACCAGACTGGAGAAGACTGAACTGGGATTTAATCGAACAGGAGGAGAAGCAGTCAGGTGTGAACTTATGAGCAAAAACTAGCGCGTCAGGAGATGAGGCAGGAAGTTCTACGAAAATAGACAATTTGCAAGGGGAAGTTTAGGCTTTAAAGGTATTTGTGATTTGCGAGGAGAGCTGCTTAGGTGAGGAGACATTCTTAGGTGTCTAGAAACGTCTACCGGGGGTGACATACAAATAAAATGAGTAACAAACCAGAAAGGACCCCAGTTCAGCAAAGATATAAGGGATAGCTACCCCCAGAACCTTGACAGCAAGCTATAGGATAACCACGGAAGCCTAAAGTCACTCACCTAACATGTAATCCTGGTAGGTCTTGAATCTCTCATAGAAGAGGAGGTTGTTCGTCTGGAAAGTGTCTGGGAGAAGAGCTTTTCCATCTGACACCACCCTTTGCAAAGCTGTTCCAGGCCTGTCGTGACTCCCATAGTCACTGCAACTGCTGTCCTCGCTGTAGTTACTCTCATCATCCACATCTGGTAGCAAAAGGAAAAGTCATTCACGCCCCCCCCATCTTTTGCACATGCATCCAGAATCATTATATTTTATTATGACTATTATTATGGCTATTATTATCATTTAGCAACTGCCTCGTTTACCGACCATTCATAGTTACAACAGTGATGAAAAAGTAACTTTGAGAACAATCCTCGCATTTAGAACCTTCGCAGGTCTGTAAAGCAAAGGAAAGCTGAAGTCGGATCGTAAGCACTGTTGCGGTTTCACTTAGCAACTGCTTCGCTTAAAGACAGAGCTGCCGGTACAAATTGCGGTTGCTAAACGAGGACTACCTGTATTATTATTGTATCAGAGCCACTTTGGTGTAGTGGTTAAGACATCAGGTTAGAAACCAGGAGACCATGAGTTCTAATCCCGCTTTAGGCATGAAGCCAGCTGGTTGACTTTGGGCCAGTCCCTCTCTCTCAGCCCTAGGAAGGAGGCCATGGCAAACCACCTCTGAAAATCTTGCCAAGAAAACTGCAGCAACCTCTCCAGTCACCTGGAGTTAACACTGACTTGAAGGCACCAACATATTATTACGGTTGGTCACACAGCCAGATGTTTAGACAGGATTTGGCATTTTTTATCCACCTATCAAGTCCTTCCCAAGGACCTGGGATAGGCAGATGTTGTTGTTTGATGGGGTTAAAGGTTTATCATCGCAGGATGTCAGCTGTCCCAAGTAAAGCTGCCTTTTGCAATGGACTGATGGTGATTTGGTCAATGCTGATGGCCTTCAAGTGGTGCTCCAGATGTTTTGGGATTGCACCCAAGGTGCCTATAACTATTGGTATTATTTTTGCTTTTTTTTGCCACAGTCGTTCTCACATTATTATTAATAATAATAATATAATATAATATGTATTCTATTTATTATAATGTAATATATACTAAATATTATATTATTATATTATCATTATCCCGTTTGCGCATCTACAGTAAACCACTTCCAGCTTTTTAAAATGAGCGGCAGAACGTCCGGAGGCGAACCGAGAGAACAACTAGCGACGAGGTCAGAGAGGGTCGTGTGAAGACTGAAGCTCGGAAGCGGGTTGGGCCTCGAAGACAGCGGGACAAGTGAGGCTCACCTGAACTGGGGTCCTCGGCGATTTCCCGGATCGCGGAGCTGCTGCTGCCGCCGGCCGGGGCGGGGGGCAAGGGGGCTTCTGCT